CTGCTGGTGTGGATATCGCCACAGTCCTGAGTTCCCATGCCAGTGAGAAGGCTGCCTTCAGCTTTGAAAATGGTCAGTGTTCCATTTACGAGCACTGTCTTATGTGTTTGATGTTTTTTTATTCATATTCTTTTTTTTTTTTAATTCATATTCTTGCATCAGTCCATGCGTGAACTTCTATCTTCTTTCTTTTGAAACTCATGGTTCCATGATTATCATCGAATCTGTTACTTTTTTTTTTCTTTCCACCAATGTTGATGTAATTGGTCTGTCACTCTTTATTACTTAAATGAGGAATGGGGCTGAAAGGACCTTCCACGAGGGCTGCTGGTCCCGCAGGGCTGTTTCTTCCGTGCTTTGGGCTCATTTACAAGGCAGCCCTAGTGGACCGGAGCCCATGTGGACGGGCTCCCACGTGAACAGGTCGCTCCAGGAAGTCCTCGGACGTCATGTCGCCCTCGCTCTCGCAGGCCCCCTTCCCAGAAGAGGCATGGGGAGGCGGGGGACCCAGGAAGCGGCCAAGTTCAGCCCGCTCCTAATCCGGGGGAGAGGACCAAGCCGGTCCCTCCACGCACTGGCCTGGCCGAGCTCCTCGCTGGTCTGCACTAAGGGGCTTTCGAGAACAAAGCCCCGGACTGCGTCTGCGCCACCTCCGGGCCCACCCAACCTCCCCCACCGACTGTGCCCCACCCAAACCCCCCAGCTCCCGGGACCCAACGGGCTGTAATGCCCCCCGCACCCCGCCTCAGCTTTTTGGCTGATCGGGAAGAAAACAAGCCCCCACGAGGCCTCCCGGCGGTAGCAGCACGGAGGCGGCCGTCCGTTAGCCTGCTGTGCCGGAAGGCTGAGTCTCGGGGTCCCTCCACTCGGTCCCATTAGAGACCGGAAGGGGGAGAATCGGAGACAAATAGCAGCCTCTTTGGACCCCCATGAAGACCTGGCTGCAGATCCTCCTGCCAGGGTCCCGCACGCAGGTTAAGGGTCCTGGCCAGCGGGCCCCCGCAGCTGCCGGGAGCGCACACGAGCTGCAGTGCTCCACGCGCTGTCCACTGCGCGCTCGCCGCCGACTGCAGGAGAGCGGGAACCCCAGCACCCGAGTCCCCAACCCCAGTTCCCCAGTTCTTTTCACCCTTTCTACCCCCACCCCCGCCGTTCCGGGACTCGCAGTCGCCACCACCGCGCTTAGGGCCGGTTCTGGGAATCTGTTACTTTTGTTTTCTAGTTTTGTAGTTGAAGAGGGCTTGCCTACCTTCCTTATCTGCCATCTTACCAGAAATCAGCCTTGCCTTGTTGTTTGTTGTTGTTATGTGCCCTCGAGTCACTTGCGACTCATAGCGACCCTGTGTACAACAGCCCTAAACTCTGCTCTGTCCTGTGCCAATCGCACTGTCTCTGACATCACCTCATAGAGGGCCTTCCCCTCCTGCGCCGTCCCACCACTCTTCCAAACATGTTGTCCTTCTCCAAGGACTGGTCTCTCCTCACAACATGTCCAAAGTATGTTAGACGGAGCCTCAGAATCCTTGCCTCCAAGAAGCCACCCGGTTTAACCCTTTCCAGGACAAATCTGTTAGTTTTCCCAGCAGTCCATGGTATTCTCAATACTCTTCTCCAGCACCACAGCTCAAAGGCATCAATTCTCCTTCTATCCTCCTTGGTCATTGTCCAACTCTCTGATGCATAACAGGTGATTGCGAAGACCATGGCCTGTATCAGGCGCACCTTAGTCTCCAGAGAGATACCATTGCTCTTCAGTACTTTGGAGAGTTCCCTAACAGCAGACTTTCCCATGGCAATGCGCCTTTTAATTTCCTGGCTGCTGGTGCCAAGACTGTTGGCTGTGGAGCCAAGCAAACTAAAGCTGTGTACAATCTCAGTCTACCTTGTCTTAGTAGACAGGAAAAAAAAAAAGCAAGCTAAAGCTATAATGAGTTACCACTTACTGGAATAGCTAATATTAAGAACATGGATAGTACCTAGTCGTCATACAGATACAGAATAATGGGAACTCAGAAGACACTGCTGGTGGCAATGTAGGCTAATGTAAGTTCTTTGGAGAACAGCTTGCGCTTTTAAAACTGAACAGATAACCAAACACCCTGGCTGGGCCTGCCTCAGTCTTCCCTAACTCTATTAATTCCTTACGTCTAAAGTTGAAAAAAAACAAAAACTGAACAGATGCATGCCCTATGCAACTTCCATGGTTATATACTCAAAAGAAATGTCTACATATGTGTACCAAGAGACATACAGAATACTAATAGCCTCACCTTTTATAATAGCTCCCAAAAGAGAAACCATTCAGATGGCCTTCACAATGAATAAATTATATTTAGACAAAATATTATATAGCATCAGAAAGGAGTAAATCACTGTAAGACGCCTGAAATTAATTTCACGGACAGTGTTGACTATTAAAATATTGTATATCATTCAAATATGCATCAGGGTTATATTCTCTCTCCATACCTCTTCAGTCTGTATGCCGAGCAAATAATTCAAGAAGCTGGACTCTGTGAAGAAGAATGTGGCATCAGGGTTAGAGGAAGACTGATCAACAGCCTGCATTATGCAGGTGACATGACTGCTTACTAAAAGAGAGGAGGACTTGAAACATTTGCTACAGAATCAGAGACTACAGCCTTCAATATAGATTACATCTCTACACGTCAAGACAGAAATTTTCAGCACTGGGGTCAATAGGTAACATCATGATAGAGAAAAGATTGGAATTGTCAATGATTTCATCATAGTTGGATCCAACATCCTTGGTACCATCAGTCAAGAAATTAAAGATGTATATTGCATTGGGGAAGTTTGCAGTTAAAGACTCCTCCAAAGTATTGAGGAACAATGATGTCTGTTTGAAGACGAAGGTGCGCCTAATTCAAACAATGGTCTTTTCAGTCACTTCTGAGAGCTCAACAATGAATAACAAAAAGAATTGATACTTTTGCATTACGGTGTTGGAGAAGAGTACTGACTATCCCATAGATTGCCAAAAGAACAAATAGATGTATTTTGGAAAAGGTGTAGCCAGAGTGCTTCTTAAAGGCAAAAGTGGCAAAGCTTTATATCAAAGACTTTGGGTATGTTGTTAGGAGAGCCTATTCTGTGGAAAGGGACATTGTGATCAGAAAGATCAGCAAAAGCAAAGAGTACCTTCAGTGAGATGGATTACAGTGATTGCAGCAATGGGCTCAAGTATGTCAGAGATAAGATTGGCACAGGATCAGATCAGGCAGAGTTCAGATCTATTGTTCATAGGGTTCATACTTGACTCGATGACACTTAAACAGCATATTTATATGGGGAGTCGACATTGCTTGTAACATTAAGTAAGGAAGTAGTTCCATAAAATTCAGAATGGTGAATTACCTTTCTAGGGTAGTGATGGGAACACTTCTTTTTTGTTATGTACCGTCGAGTTGGAACAGACTCACAGTGAGTTTTAGTAAGTACATCACACAGGAGGAGATTGCCCATGTTTCTCCTGCAGAGGAGCAGTTGGTGGATTTGAACCATGTGCCTTTGGGTTGGCATTGTTACTCCTTACCAGTAGGCCTCTGTTATTCCAAGTAGGAACTAATTCTTAAACTAAACTTAGGGAGTCTCTTCCATGACAGTTATGAGGTATTTACCATCTCGGTGATGAGGGAGCAGGTGCAGAAAGGGTTGACAGTTTAACTGAGATCACTCAGTAGTGGAGAAAGGATTCGACTTCATGCCCTCCCTTCTCGCCAGAGAACCTAGAACCCACAACCTCATTTTCATGGGAGTAAGAAAGTGCTTAACATCCAGAGTTGCTAATCAACTAATATTTGAGGATGCACTTGCTGCAGAGGGTCAAGGACTACAGCCTTCAGTATGGACTGAGGCTCAATGTCAAAAAAACAAAGATTCTCACCACTGGACCAATTGGCAGCATCAGGATGGATGGTGAAGAGATTGAGATTGTACACAGCTTTAGTTTGCTTGGCTCCATAGTCGACACTCTTGGCACCAGTAGCCAGGAAATTAAAAGGCACATTGCCATGGGATAGTCTGCTGTTAGGAACCTCTCCAGGGTCCTGAAGAGCAATGGTGTCACTCTGGAGACTAAGGTGCGTCTGATACAGGCTTTGGTCTTTGCAATCACTTGTTATGCATCAGAGAGTTGGACAATGACTAGGGAGGATAGAAGGAGAATTGATGTCTTTGAGCTGTGGTGCTGGAGAAGAGTATTGAATATACCATGGACTGCCAAGAAAACAGATTCAACCTGGAGAGGGTTAAACCAGGCTGCTCCTTGGAGGCAAGGATTCTGGGGCTTCATCTGATATACTTTGGACATGTTGTAAGGAGGGACAGGTCCTTGGAGAGGGACATCATGCTTGGGAGGGTGGAGGGACTTCGTAGGAGGGGAAGACCCTCTATGAGATGGATTAATTCAGCGACTGGGGTAATTGGGATGGGTGTGTCAGAGGCAGTGCGATTGGCACAGGATAGAGCACGGTTTAAGGCCTTTGTACATAGGGTCGCTATGAATCGCAAGCGACTCGACAGCACATACCAACAACAATAACATCTGTCTCCCTGTTGGCGGTGAACATGCGTATTTTAAAAGGACTTTTCTCTCACACATCTCCAAAGCAAGTAGATCTATGGCTCTGGGGACCCAGCAGTCCTGGCCTGGCTGACTCTGTCAAGCTAGTAGCTTCAGGAACAGTTCTGGGTTGCAGTGTTGCCAAGGTCTGGAGTAGGCCTTGCTCTCTGTAGGCAGCTAGGGGGTGTTTACTGGGCCTCTTGGGGCACACAGAGTTTGCTGAGGAGCAGGCAGGAAAAGCCAACAGATTTTAGGCCCCACAGCCTCTCACCTACTTTGATTGGAGTTTGGTAGAGATTCTTAGTGGGGGAGTTCCCATGTCTCTTGTGCCTTCCATCTTGTGCCCATTGTCCCGAGGTCTGCTCTGTACTTCCCCCAGTATTTACCCTTGTGACCTCACCTTGTTCTTCTCAAGGGCCACAGATCGTGCTCAGTGTCTATGGCCCAGATGTGTTCGGGAACGACGTGGTCCGTGGCTACGGGGTGGTGCACGTTCCTTTCTCACCTGGGCGGTAAGTCCTTGTTCTGGTGTCTGGGTCAAAGTCTACCCCTCACTGGACCATCCTGCCTTGGGACAGGGCTTGTCCAGGAATAGACAGGACCTTCTGCAGTCCCTAGGATAGATGCAGCTAAGGGTAAGGAGGTGTTGGAGCAGGTACACAGAGACCATTGTGTAGGGAAGGCTCATGCTGCAGTTCATGCACCATGTGGGATAGACAAGAGTGTCTGAGCACCCCACAAGTGAAGAGCATCAGGGTTCCAGAGACAGAGCTGCTAGAAATTCTAGTCCATCTTTCATTTAGTCCCTCACTAAATGGTCTGTGAGCCCTTCTGTGTCCTGCTTTGCCAAGCAGCAGGGCACATATGTGTCAGACATGGACCTCCACACAGAAACCTCCAGAACAGTGGAGAAGACAGAGACTTAGTCCTTTTTTGGCAGTTGTGATGACAGGGTCCTCTGAGTCCAAAGGAAAGACAGATCATTTGGCCTTAAAAGGACAATGTCCAGAGGAGGGGGAAATATGGGCCAGGGCTAAGAGTTGCTGGGAACTTGGAGGTGTGCTGAAACTGGAAGTACAGGGCATGGGGGATGGAGAGCTTGGTGGAGAGGTGCTGGAACCACAGCTTGGGGACCTGTGAGTAGCAAACAGCATGTGCAAAGGCCAGGACCCTAAGGTTCTCGGGCAGGAGAGGGACAAGGACAGGGTGGCCACAGTAGGACTAGAGACTCATGGGGGCTTCCTGGAGAAAGAAGAAGAAATAGCTCATTGTTGGAGAATTCGAACCCACTCACAGCTGACAGTGCAGCAGGTTTTCCGAGGTAGTAAATGGTCTGGGAGGAAACTGCCCATCTTCCTCCTAAAGAACAGCTGGTGGAGAGACACAGTTATGGGCTGTCATTCTCTTCACTATGGACTGTGCCACCAGAGCTCCTAGGGAGAGAGCATCCAGATGACATCTGACAGAGGCAGAGGATGTGATTTATGGAAGAGGCCAAGGCTTGCTGAGGATGCAAGAAGCCACCACTCTTTAATGCAAACAGCATCCTCTTTGCCCTCAAAAGAACAAGGGGGTCAAAAGGATGTGTTAAGCTGTGGTAGGGTCTATAAGGATGGGTCAAGCTGTGGCATGTGCTGGTGGGTGGAGTCCAGTACTCTGGCGTCAGCAGATGGTCTGATTCTGCAGGACCCCAGTCTCTACAGTAATTAATGGGCGGTTCAGGATGGTGTGCTTTGCCACTCTGTATGTGAGCTGCATTTGTTTGTCAAAACATTTGTTTTAGACACAAAAGGATCATTCCTATGTTTGTCCCGGAATCTACATCTAAATTGCAGAAGTTTACAAGGTGAGTTTTCTAACCTCCCCCAGTTCCTCCTCTTCGTTGACAGTGGACAGGTGTCACATTCCACTGTCATGTGTCCTGTTGACCTGTCTTGTACACAGGTCCTGCAGGGTCATTAAGTGGTCTGGGCACCCTGAACAACATGTGTAGCAGCATGAGGAAAGCCACACAGTCGTCCTCAGCTCAGTTACTGAAGGCCTCCTGGCAAATGTGACATACAAAGTGGGCTGCTGGAGAGACCTCAGTCTGTGAACAGCCTAATAGGGAGGCCTTGAGCCAGCAATGCAGGTTAGCCTATCCCTGGTGGATGGCTCTTCTGAACTGGAACCCTGCAGGGCCTGTGAAGGAGCCCCGTGAGGGAAAATGCCAGGGTGCACCTAGGGAGAGTGCTATTGGAGCAGTTTGGTGGCCCCTACTCAGTTGTGTCAGTCGGCCAGCTAAAGGCTGGAGGTCACACTTCTGTCTCTGTACTGTGAGGACTTGGGCTGCATCCTGCATGCCCTAGCCCTTCCCCACATGGTGGCACCAAAGGGCTCAGACTGGGACTTGGGCATGTTGGGGGTGGCACTGCTTTGAAGAGGGCCTTCCCTTCTTGAGCCCCCAAGCCTGTGACCAGGCCTTAAGTGAGTATGAGGGTGTGCACACGGGAGGGAATGTGATGCAGGCACATCTGACCACCAGTCAAGTCATGGGCAAGGGCTTCCAGGGCAAGTACACAGAGTGGTCGGAACTGCAAGTGGCAGGCTGGGGACTGCTCTGAGCCCACAGGGCAGATGCCATCGTCCCCAGTAGAGCAGAGTGAGAACCTGGGGGTCATTGACAGGAAACTAGTTGTAAGTTTCATGCTCTTAAAAGCGCAGACACACCCATCTTCTGGCTAGACCACAGATGGCCTCTGACCCCAGGACCGTATCTCCTCTGCCTTAGCATGTCATCCTTTGCGGATTTCCTCCTCATCCAGCCCAGCATCTCCCCCATGTCCACACAGCAGGCTTTAGTGGGGATGCTGGAGAGCAGGAGAGGTGAGGGCTGAGGGGATGACAGCGGTTTGGGGACAGGTGGGGCTAGGGTACTTTGGGACAGGCATGGTAGAAGCCCACAGGCCCATTTCTGCTCGACCCCCAGTGGGTCTTCACTCTCTGGTGGCCACATTTCCCTTTCAGACAGGCATAAATAGGCAGGCTGGGGATGTGGAAGGCTTCTGAGATAAGAACACTTCTTGCTCATCCAGTGTCCTGTTTCCTCAGCTGGTTCATGGGACGGCGACCTGAGTATACAGACCCCAAGGTGGTGGCTCAGGGTGAAGGCCGGGAAGGTAACCGTCCCTACCCCTATCCCCACCGGCACACTGGAACCTGGACAGGGTGGGCGAGTGCCATGGTGGGTGGCCAGAGCTGGGACCTAGGAATTTCCCACGTCTTCCCCACCCCTTGGACTTCAAGGTTGTTCAGAGGGCTCTGGCTCTGTGTCCTGGCATTGCTCACATGCTACCCTTTGTTCCCAGTGACTCGGGTCCGCTCCCAGGGTTTCATCACCCTCCTCCTGAACGTGGTCACCAAGGACATGAGGAAGCTGGGCTATGACATGGGGCCTCTGGACTCTCAGGGCCTCGCAGGGCCTGCTTCACCCCCAGGTGCCCTCGGCTAACAGCCCCTGCTATCCCATACCTGGCGCTGCAGGTAATGACTCCCCTTGCTGCTGCCTCTTTGGAGAGTGGACTGCAGGTACAGCTTTGAGAAACTAGTTTGATAGACTACAATATGCCATTTCCAGAGACGTAAGCCTGGAGCTTCTCCCTCCTTAGGTGTGACCCTCTGTCCTTCCAGCGCTGGTGGTCCCCAGGCCCTGGTGGTGATGAGGATGGGCCTGAAGCCTTGGAGCAGGATGTTTCCTTCCACAAAACACTATGGGCAGTTGGACTACAAATCAGCCTAGGGAGAGGCGATGCCTGGGAGGCTACACACCAGGATGGCAGATTTCATGCTTTCATCTCTGTACCTTTTCCTAGCATGGGTACAGGGTCCATCTAGAGGTGCTTCCCTGGACCCAGGTCCATATCACTTGACAGTGATGTTAGCAGAACTGAGAGGCATCTGTAGGTATAAGATGCAGCCTGTCCCTTGCCTGGTCTCTGCCCAGAGCTGGGGGCCAGAGCCCTCTCCTGGGGCAGAATGGGAGGGAGGTGATTCCCCCAGTTTACACACTGGCACATGCTATGGCCCCATAGCCAGCAATCTGTCCAGCATACCCACAGCAAAACACTAGGCAGTTGCTACCTTTGGGAGATTGCAGAGAGGACCCTGTTCTGTCCTGAGCCATCACTTCAGTTCTGGCAGCATCCACTAGAATATGTGGCTCTGCACCACTTCCCAGGTCACTGTCCATGCACGGAGTGGTATCATAAGCCTTGCAATGAAATTCTTCATATTTCTGGTTCTGGCTGAGCCCAGTGCTGTCCTGAAACTTTCTGTGCACTTCCTCTATGCCTGTTACCTGGGCCTAGTGGTCAGCCGTGTGTTCTTGACCCTTTTTAACACTGCCAGAACCGTCCCATCCATCTCTGAACTTGGCCATCAGACCCACACCACACCACTGACTCATGCCTCTCGTTGGCTTTGGCTATTCTTGGCAACATTTACTGTCCATGTTAGTAACCCCCAAGAAGTTGACCTCCATCCCTTAACAGCCATCATAACTCTTCCCCACCCAGCTCCCCACTTCAGGATTCCCTCTCCAGCATTCTGCCTTGGGATGCCCACCCTGGCCACCTCCCTCTTACCTTTTTTGCTTTGTAGTTTGGGGCTCATGGTCATCATTCCAATGCACTTGTATCAGACTTGGTGCTCTTTCTCCTGGCAAAACTCAAGAGAAGCTGGATCCATCTGCCTTCTGAGAAATGCTTCCACATCTTTTGTTTTCAGAACTTAAGTACCCCTTACCTACTTTCCCAAAGCTGAGCTCACAAGGAAATGAAGATATCCCTACATGAGACCTTTTGTTTCTTTAGTCATCTTGAGGTGGCTGGCTATTCCCTCCAACTTTCCAAGGATGGAATTTGTTATTCTCCCCTTCCTCCTCCAACATGAATCCCCTATTTGCAGGCTCAGTTCCATCAACCTGCTAATGCAAAACAACAAAAGCCCTTGGCCAGGGAGCTCTGGTGGCAAGAAGCTGTGCCACAATCCCATCCTATAGGTGCACAGTTTGAATCCACCAGATGCTCTGCTGGAGACGGGGCAATTAAATTTCCTCCTGTGCCAATCAGTGTATACACACACATACACACACACCCCTTGACCTCTCCAATACACTCTTATTTATTGGCTTACATTTAGTGTAGAACCTGAAGGTGCCATTTGCCACGTACTATCCTAGACTGTGCTCACAGGTGACTGGTCACATCGGCCACATAGCTCATCTTTGACAGTCACCCTTTTGAGTAATTTTTGAATATTTTATTGTTGAAACACTGGTAAGTTGAAATAACTACAGCAAAGACACACACGTACCATCCAGAGCCATTCATTACTCTTTTTCTGTGCTTGTTTTTCAGCCATACACCTTCTTGTGAGTCTGTCTTATCAGTGTATTTCTAAATAAATGGCAAGCATTTCCTTCTGTTATCAGTTTACTTTTAACTGGTTTTGAGTACTATATAAAATTACTTGATGTCAGGTGAACCTGCCGCTGAGTTTTGACAAATGCTTACCCAGACTGTCAAGGTGCAGGACAATGGTAAAGTTTAAGGGCTTCAGAGGGTGAAGCTTTTATGCATTGAGAAGGGTGGAGGAGGGTGTGAGTGATCACTTAAATGAGCTTCAGCTCAGGTCTGCTGAGGTCTGGGGCCTCGATCACCCTTATAGGCTTGCAGTCTGGCAGCAAATCTTATTCACACCATTCTTGTGGGCATGTGCAAGACTGTCCTGGCCCCTTTCATCAGGATGGGCCGATATAACTCTGGCCCATGAAGAATCTCCGATTGACCCTTCTAGTTCTTCACCCTGCCTTCAGGTGTTAAGGGCAGGATCTTAAGGGAGGAACCTAGATGACTGAGTCACAACTTGGAGGGGAACCACCCCAATATCTTGTTGGCTATTTGAGAGAAATTTTCACTGTATTCACCTACTGCAAACCTGAAGTTTGTTCCTGTGTAACCTACCAGTACTAGTTGCTGTAAAGTGGGTTCTGAAAAATGTGACATGTGGGACAGAGTAGAAGTGCTCCACAGGGTCCCAGGGGCTGTTTTCAGATGGTGTTTGCCAGGCCTTTGCCCCATGGCACTTGTTGATGGACTCAGTGCCAGCCATTCAGGTATCACATCCAGGTGTGATAACAATTTGTGCCACTCTGTGACTGACAGAGGAATTGGGTGAAGAGTGTTTCTGCAGCTGGATGAAAGGATGATACAAATAATAGAGAACAGAAGATCTGTATTGTGCAAACATAAAACATTAGATCAAATGCATTTTGTAACTTAGGAGGCAGGTTATGTGCCATTCAAGCCAACTGCTTGATGATGAAAGAATCACAGGATGTTTGTGGTATAAACTGGCTGTCTTAAGCTAGGAGACAAATTTTAGAACTCAGAACAGAAACATTTGTACCAGGTAATGAGGTGGCACTTCCACTCCTGCCCCAGATGACTTTATGGTGGCGACCCACTGAGAAAAGTAGATTAGGGAGCAAGAAAGGCAGGTGTACGTTTAGGAAGGAGGGTTGAGAGTCTCAACTGTTAAAAAATGCAAAGGAAACCCTAAGAACATAGCCTGATCGTCAGGAGCTTTAGCGGATGGCAACTTCAGGTTTTTTTTTAAAAAAAGGGTCTAATGAAGTACTTTATGTATGTGTTTCTTAGTTTCCTATTACTCAACCCCCAAACTTTTTGCTTTGAAGCAGCCACCTCCTCTTCTATGCTGCTAGGGTGGCTCTTACGTGATGCTGACCAGGGCTGGGGCATCCAACATGCTGCATGTCCATGGCTGGCAGTGTATAGGCCTGTGTGAACTAAGGACCAGAGCACCTCACTGTTTTCCATGTGGCCCCTCAAAGCCTAACAGCTGGGTCCAAAGAGGAGCAGTGCAGGAGAGGAGGCCCATGGTACCAGTGTTCCCCCCTCAGATGCTAAAGTGTCATTGGCCCATCTCGTACCAGAGTGGAGTGTGGGACCTGGCACTGCTGGGCACAGTCTCTGACCAACAGCACATGGATCTGGCTGGAATTGGGGATTAACACCCATCTCCACTGTGTCCAAAGGGCATAAAATGGGTGGCCTGCACCCCAGAGGGAGACACAGACAGCAAGAAGTTTCAAAGCCCTTCTGCCCCTTTGCCAGCCTCTCCTCTCTGGGGACCCTTTTCCCCTTAGAAGGCTCCAGGATCCAAGTCTGTGGTATGGCTTACAGCTGTACATCATAACTTCCTGGAAGCTGCAGATAAGGTAAGGCGTCCAGACAGTGTGTGCATCCTCCAGAAATAATCAAGGCTTGAGCTGAATGCAGCTTTTAAGACAACTCCCCTGAAAGAGAGTCAGATCTCAATGACATATGCCAGGAGATGGCTGTGAAATACTTGGTGATGAGCTCACCAGTCATCTCCTTGTGACTACTCAACCTTTTCAGGCCTGGACACATCTCTACACCTGACTGACTACTTCAGCCTTGCACTGCCTCCTTAAGAGCTGCCTGCTGAAGATAGTGGTCACACAGGCTGGCTCCTGAGCCGGCTTGGGAGGGCTCTGCTGAGGCTAAAGGCCTGGAAGCTGGCCACACAGCAGGACAGGAACACTGATATATACCCTTCGTCATATGGTTCAGGCGAGTACCGACTGCCACTAACCCTTGTTCCAGTAGTCCCTACTCAGGAGTTCTCCAGGCCAGTGTGTTGCCCAAGTTTAGGGTCTCTGAATGGAGGCTGGGGGTGGTGTTGAATCTGGAGGAGTGAGCTGCCTAGCAGGCCCAGGAATGATGCTGGCCATCCAGCAGAAGACTTGAGCCTTCTCTCTGCACACAGTCCAGGGCCTTGGGTGCCCCTTTCTGGCCACTGGATGGACATGTCCCTCCTCTGAGACTGGCCTGAGAGAGGATAAGTCCTTTGTTCTGCCAGGACCCAATGACTCACAGCAGCCACATGCTCATGTCAGGGTAAGTTGCAGCCCTTGCTTTTAAAGGCAGCTCTTCCTGAGGAAGGTACACAAAAAGTGGCAAGTCAGCCAAGGCCAAACCTGGCAGTCATCTAGACTGCTCTACGTGGAGAAGCCCAGAGGCTGGTGTCCACACCAGCTGGGATGAGATTGGGGCAGAGGGGAGCTGGGCCCACCAGAGCAAGAACTACGCTGGATGCCAGCTCCAGCTCCCCACTCTATGGAGGTTCAGGGACCCCAAGTCCCCAGGGTATGTGGCAAGAACACACCTGGCCTTTGGCAAAAATCTGCCCTTACTCTAACCTACCAACTCCCCACTCTCTATGATAGGATTCATGAAGATGGATGGGGGAAGGACACAGTGCAAACCTGCACTGAAATAAAAATGATAAGTTACATCTATACAGTAAGTTTCAAGACAACACAAGCTCAAAGCCAGTCACTGGCTGGGGACATTGAGCAGCTGTGTGGCCTCGTGATCAGTGCAGCAGGGACAGGGACAGTGTCTTCTAGGATCAGTGAGAGGAGGGCTGTAGTGATCCAAGAGGCAGATGTAAGGCCTTACAGCCGAACCAGTCTATTGTTATAATGAAATCGCTAACTCCAGGATCTCAGGTCAACCCAGACTCCTCACAACTCTGGAGTCTCCTGCCCCACAACCCACTGCCCCAGGCAAAGATGAGGCCAGGCAACCTGCTCTTGAACAAAACCCATACAGACACCAGAATTTCTGTAGTTTCTGCCTGCCCTGATGTGGTAAGAGGACTGGTTTGTCATGAACTCCAGGGCAGAACTGGGACTCCTTTGGTTAGACACGGATCTGGGCTGGAGAGGAGCTCACATAGTGCTGCCTTGACAGGAAAGCTGCCTGAGTCAGCAGCTAGCCCCAAATCTGGGCCTAGGACAAAATCCTGAAGCTCACTAGTGCCCACTCCTGAGGGCCAATCTTCCTCAGACCCAGGAGTGGGGAGGGGCCCACTGCTCCCTTAGGGAGCTCTTAGGGTTGACTTGTGGAGTGTTCCGAACAGGGAAGCCCTTCCCTAGAGTAGAGAAAAGCAACCCTCCTCTAGTCTTAACGTGACTGATTAGTGACGGCAGGGGGGCGGCGGGCAAGAGGCTGAGAGGAGGATGCTTGTTACAATCTGCTCTGTGTGTGTGTGTGTGTGTACACCGTCAAATCAGATCTGACTGGTACAGAAGGAGATTGTCCCTCCTTTTCCCGGCAGAGCATCTGGTGGATTTGAACCGTGTGCCTCTGGGATTGTAGTTGCAGCTCCTTGCCACTAGGCCACCAGAGCTCCCCTACAATCTGCTCTTTGTGAGAATAATTTTCTCTTCCTGTCCAAAGAAGTTAAATTTTTTTCTTATGTTAGCAACATATGCCAGAGTGTCAGATAAGTCAGGGTCTGTCTAGTCCTACCCTGTCCTGGCCGTATTAGCCCATCCGTAACCTAAGCTGGGACCAGACACCAAGGGTGCTAGAGGTTCCTTTCATCTCAGCCTCCACTGTAAAGAAGTCCTTGTTAATCCGTGTTTACCTTTAATGAAAAGGAATTAGTTGATAGAAACAGGTAAGCCATACTTATACATTAGCTTTTTCTCTAATTCAGATGTTGGTCTATCAGTTAGGAAAACAGCCTCTTGCTCAGAATATAGCCCAAATGGCTAAAAGTCCATCAGTTTGGTACTTCACCAAAAAAGGACATTGAAAGGAAAAGGATGGGGGCCAAAATTCTCTGTTATTGTTGTAGGGTTTTTTGTTTGGGTTTAAATAAACATGTATAATCAAATTATCATATTTTTCCCTATAAAATCACAAAAATTTGCTCTATTTTTTTCATAAGGCATTTTTTCCTGTTATCCAAATGACTCCTTTTAAATTTTCTTAGAGAGTTAAAACCATAAATAGGATTTAAACCACTAAAATGACATGTGCCAATATCTAATTCATCCAGACCTGGTGAATTCTATCAAAAGTAGACAGTTAAATAAAAACATTATAAAAATATTAGCCAAAAAAGACTATTAGATAATTCTGCAAACTCAAATATGAAACTGTACTAAACAAAATATGTGCAAACGTATACAAGCATATAGCCACATAGCAGGGTTATGCTCAGATTAGTTTTAAAGCTTGCTCTAGTAGATTTCATTCAAGAGTTGTTCCACAGTGATTATGCATACTCTGAACTCTCACACGAGTCAAAGAATGTAAAATATGCACAACCACTTCCAGAGTCCATGTCTGTGCCAAGTGCAGGCCTTCCTGCCCCAGTCTGGGCACATGTCTACCACATGCCTGGGCTCATCTGGCAGTGGCATAGTGCTCACTCCCTCCTCTGAGCTTTGGGAGCCCTCCAAGCTAGTGCCAAGACGTGTGGAAAGGCAGCAAGAGCTGACAGGGAACCCTCCCAGCTAGTGCCAAGACAGGTGTGGAAAGGCAGCAAGAGCTGACTTGGCAGTGTTGACCTGCAGGGGCACTGAGGCCTGGCAAGCTGTGTGGGCCTCCAGCTATAGCAGTTCAAGGGGGGCTGGGCTGCAAGGAGAGCTCAGGCCACTGGAATGCGGGTGCTCTGACTTCCTCCAAGACCAGGCCCTCTCGGGCACACTCGAGCCACCACGCTGGTAGCCGGCAATTGGACACTAGGGCAGGAAGGGGTTGGTCGTGCCAGAGGCTGGAGCTGTTGAGGGGGAGATGCCGGCACTGCCCACCATGTTCAGTGCTGCAGGGCCCAGTGGTGTCAACGAGGAGCCACTGCTGCCCAGAGCTGGGTGTGGGGCCCTGGGGGCCATGGTGAGCATCACCAGGGGCTCCACAGCTGGGCTGGGCCCAAAGGATGCACTGGCCCCCAGGACTGGGCTCCCCCGAAGCTGGTTCAGAGTCAGTGGCTGAGGCTGGTTCACCTGGAAGGGGTTGACTGGGGCCGGGGCTGAAGCTGGACCTAGAAGAGAGCAGGATGAGCAGTGGCAGAACTATTAAGGAGGAAGCATGGTCTCCAGAAGTGTTAAGCATGGGCCCCACCCACACTGACACCACCTGCAGTGTCTGAGGCCCATCTCAGCCGCTGATGAGCCCCCAGTAAAGGGTGCGGCCCAGGGCATGTGATGTCTGCAACACTGGCTTCGGGGCCCCCACCTTGCCTCTCACCACCAAAAGTTGGTCACCCAGGAAGCCCGGGAAACACACATAGCTGGACATTGACACGTAGGTTAGGTTCAGGGCACTGCAGGAGGCCTGGCTCCCCTATTTAGCCTACCCTCTTTTTAGTAAACACATACTAAGATGCTGTCTGAACCCACAGAACTGCCTGTCTTAGGACTCTGGAAAGGTTTTCATGGGCAGCCTGGGGTAACATGGCCCACCAAGGGCGATGCTCCAGCTCTGGCAGAGACCCCCTGAGAGCACCCCCTCACTGAGAATGCGCCGTAGCCCACAGGGAAGGGCAAGGACTTGCTTGCCCAGGTCCCCTCACTGGGCAGGTGTAACAGCACCTGCTGAAGGAGAAACTTATCAGAGGTGGAAGAGAATAAGGGCCACAACCGGATGACGCCCTGGGGGTGCATACCTGGTACCAGGAAGGGATTGAGGGACTGGGCCGGCAAGGCAGGCTTGGTCACCAGTGAATCCAGATTTACCAGGGCTGCATTGGGGCCCAGAAAGGACTCAGGAGTTTTCCGGGCACTGCTGGGCTTGCCAGGGGCAATGGTCAGAGGCTGAGAGTCAGAGAGATCCGGGCTCACTGCTCCATTGCTTTGGGATGGCAGAGAGGCCATGGGTTCGGCTACAAGACAAGGACACAACACAGTGAGGCTCATGGCTCACACTCAGACCTCACAGGCATCCCAGTCACACACAAGCTGTCCAGCCCGTTGTCGTTCCCTGGGAGCCCTGTGGAGATGTGGAGATGGGTGTCACTGCAGGACTGACCTATCCCCCAACAGGAGAAGCTGTGAAATAAGCAGATACTGTGTAGCCAGTGAGAACACAGCTCCTGAGGAGAGGCACGAGGAGGCAAGGGCATTGTGTTCAAGGAAAAAGTGAAGCTGGTGTGTGTTGAACAGTTCTTTAAAGATGGTAAGCTCCACCTGGTGGCTAGCCAGGGGCATTTTTTTTCAAATGCTTGCAGTTTCTGAAATTTCTGCAAGGCACGTTATTACTGGTAAGAAGAAAGCAAAGTGTCTTAAAATTTTGTCAGCAGAGGGTCATCTGAGACAGGTTCGTGAGAATGTGATTGCCCTGCTTGGGTGTAGCCTGTGAGGTATACTGGGGCCCTTCTTCCCAACTCAGCTTTTCCCTCTCTAAGAACCCAGCCTAAGGAGATGAGGCTCCCCACAGCACTAATGCTGTCAAAACTGGATTCAACTTGAACATCCTCCTCCACACCAACAAATTACTGCTAGGTCACAAAAAGTGACATTAGGAAAAGACAGATGACAGGATGATAGATGAACTCCCATTTTCTTCAAACTTTGCCACTTTTTTCAAATTTCATCTACCTCATCCTGCAATGGCAGGGCACCCTGTAGGCAGACACAAAGGATGTCCATATGGCCTACAGAGGAGATGTGGTATCGGACTGGTTGAGTTTAAAAAATGCAGCAAAAGAAAAACCCCAAGAAATAGTGCATTTTTCAGGCTATCCCTGGCCTGACTGGAAGCTCTGGACTAGAAAAAGGGACTAATGGGTGGGCAAGGGTCTGTGGCTGCACCTGAGGAGGCAGAGAAGGAAGAAAGGGGGAGGGGAGTGAGACAGGTGGGAAAAGCTGCTGTGTGTGGCTAAAGACACAGCCTCATACCCACTACTGGGATGGAGAGGCCCCCTCTGTCTCCAGCTCTACAAGAGGGACTTGAAGGGCAATCCTTGGACCCTGTAGGCCTGCTCCCTCTTCAGGTCCATTCTCTTCATACCAGAATACCAGGCAGGGTAGCCACGAGGGAGAGCTGGGTCTGAAGGTCTGCCTAGAAGGTACTGACCTCAGGATGTATGTTCTCACAGGGCTGAAGGGAAAAGGAGATACCTCTAGGGAAAGGCAGTTGGGAGGTCAGATCCGAGCCAAAGGGTCCTAGGTTTTGGTTGATCTGGTGACTAAAACAGGAAGCAGTGGCCCAAAAGAGCAGAATTTAGAAGAAAGCCTCCAGCAACACTGTTTCTATGCAAGCTCTTGTAGTTGGAAGCTTAATGCTCCCAAGATCAGAACAGAGGGACAACAGGAAGCAGGTATGTACAACACATTACAGATATCACTGTCACCTTTACATACCTGTGTTATTTGAAGTTCGGAGGTTGTCAAATTCTGAAAAGTCATCTTTAACTGTACCATTCAGATTACTGAAGAGATCAAAGGGCCCTGCGTGCACAAAAGTGATGAGGTGGATAGGGTGACTTCTGTGCCCTAGTCCACAGCCTGTGCTAGGCCAACAGGGAGCCTCTGCCCGCTGAGAGGCAGCATGTACAACTATGCTCCCACCCGCAGGATTAACTCTGGGGGCCAGAAGAGGCAGGACCAACTCTGGGTCACCTGTAGGCTGGAAGACCCTGGCAGGGATGTAGGCTCTTGTGAGTACACAGAGTGGGGTCCTCCCTGTCCACTGCCCCACCATGTTCCCTAGGAAGTACTAGGGATGGGGAAGAAAGTCTGAGATTGGTGCAGAAGGAGCCATTGTCCCACCATGCTCCTTAGGAGGTAACAGGGATGAAGGGATAAATGTGATCAGGGCCCAGGACCTACAGCCTGTGGGGCGCACCTTGAGGCCAGCTGGCCGTGGACCCTAATTCCAGGGCAGGCCTAGGGGCCAGGGGCCCAGGACCTAGCAGAGCCTGCTCTGGCCCTGCTCCCACACAGGAGCTCTCCTGGTCACATCATTGTGTGGCAGGACTGTGATTTCCTGCTGGCCCGGTGATGGGCTCTCCCAAATGGGGTCTTACCAGAGGCAGACATAGGCTTGGCAGCAGAGGCACCCCAGCTGTCGGAGGTTCTCGCTCCAGTATTTGGAGCTGGCTGCTGAGGAGCCACCCAGGGGTCTGAGTCCTTGGGGACAGAGTATGTGCTGGATCCAGTGGGCATTCCCCATGGGTCAACAGATGTAGTTGGTTTGGCACCTATGGAAGTCCAGAGCACAGAGAGGCCCTTTGAATAGATCAGGCAGTTGGGGGTGGGTGAAGGGAAAGGATGCAGAGCTGGCCCCCAGGTTCAGAGGTCTCTTCCTCAGAACAGCTGAGGCCAGTCAGATCCCTTATGAGAAGTCTGAGAGGACAGGCTGGAGGGAAGACTCTTCAAGACCCATGCCTCCTGCGCTAGACAGATCCCACTCCAGTGGTATTGAAGCAGGCTCCCTCTAACAGGAAGGAGCACCTCCCCATGCTGCAATTCCTGAGGAGGCGCAGCATCCCAGAAGCCACCTCCTCAAATGCCCAGAGCAGCTTTTCTTCCTGATAGATGTGTTAAGAAATGAGCAAGTTCTCTGCATAAATAGAAATATTAACATGACAAAAGCTTGTGTACTTAGCACTCAGCTTAAGCAATACAACATACTAAAACTGAGGGACAATATCAAATTAATGGATCATAGCAGGCTTTTTTTTTTTTTTAGGACAGATGGGGAACACCTAAATTCATCTACTGCATGAAAGGTAAACTTTGTCCTAAGACTTCAGTTTAGGTCTCTGGAAATGGTACATGTTAGCCACTGGTCTTGCACCAAAAGCTTACCATGACAGCTACTCCGAATTCCATCAATGTTGCTGTGATTTTCCTAACATCCACGAAAGTACCCTTACACATTATAGAGCTCAGATGAGCCCAGGTGCTGACCTTCATAAAAAGGAAATGTGCCTTACTTCCCATGCCTTATACTCTGTGACTGGCCTTTTATGCCACTTTATTTTCGAGATCACGTGTTGATGAGTAGCTGAAACTTGATATCTATTGCTCTGTAACTTTCTAGTCTAAATTAAAAAAGAATCCCATTTGATCAGGATAATAAACAGGCTAACACAGCACTCTGCTATGCATGTACACACAAGTATTGCCAGGCCACAGGCACCTTTACCAAGTACCACACAGCAGCTTCCAAACTGCTTGTACCATCCAACCCTCCCACTGCTCCTTGCTGCTCTTTGAGTCACGTTACCTTACTCTGCACTCCAGACATGCTTCCCCTCCCAACTTCCTACTCTTTTTTTTTTACATTGCCAAGCATTTCCCTTTATTTGAATCCAAATCAACATCCACAGAAGTAGCAGCTATAAAATCAAAAGGTACTTTACATTGGGTAAATCTGCTATCAAGGAGCACTCCAAAGTGCTGAAGAGCAACCTGACACTTTGAAGATTTCCAGTCACCTTCATATATACACAGGGGAAATGAACAACAAAGAAAAAAAAAAGAACTGATGCCTCTGAATTGTGATGCTGGCAGAAAAGTGTAAATATGTCCAGGACTGCTAAAAGAACAGACAAATCTGTCTTGGAAGAAGTGCAACAAGAATGACTGTTAGAAGTAGCAATCCCAGAGGTACACGGTTCAAATCCACCAGATGCTCTGCCGGAGAAGGAGGGAAAAATTCCCTTCTGTACCAGTCAGATCTGATTTGACGGTATAAGCACAATAAATAAATTTAAAAAAAAAAAAAAAGATGGTGAGGCCTTGTCTCACATGTCTTGGGCATACTGTCAAGTGGCTCATGGAGATTATGCTTGCTATGGAAGACCAGCAAAGGGGATCCTCAAGACAACAACAGCCCAACCTCCTGCTACTGGCTCAAGCTCACAGGCTTTCTGGCCCAGTTTATCTCACACTAGGGCCTTGGAGTTATGTCTAACTCAGGAAAAAAGGCTCTGGGTCAGTCCTGAACATAACCAAACCAGCCAATAGCCAAGGCGAACAACCTTCCATGATGGGAGCACCGATGTGCCTACACAACCTGGCAATAGCTGCTGAGTTGAATGCAGATGTGCCCAAGAACAGTGTGCCTGTGAGCCAAGTGTCAGCCCTTCATCCTCTGCAAGTAAAACTTGATGACAGGTGCAGATGTCGCCAGTGCAAGCAGCAGGCACAATGTGCAAGTCCGGCTTTAGCCTCTATTAAAGGCTGTCCAGTCTTTCCCAGCTCTTCTGTGTGTTCACTTCTGTATCCTTGGCAGAGCCTATGCCATCTACACCCCCAACAAGTAAATGTTTGTTGAAAACATAAATGAGTGAGAGGGAAGTCGGGATAGAACCGAGGTCAGAGCATGGTGGGTTCCAGCCTTCAGGTCTGTAGACCCATTCACAGGCAGCAGTCTCCCACCGCCCTCACTGCCAGCCTGTTCATCTTCAGCCTTATCCATGCATTATTCATGAACACAGTACAGGAAGGAGGAAGCATCGAAGTGCTGCTCCTGCCATGTGGGAGCTGCTGAAGTTGCCAGCAGCACCATATGCTGCTGCCAGAAGGAGGTGAGTGGCCAGGCCCAGAGTGCCTTAGCATTCTGAATCGCTGAGTGTGAGCCCTGCTTCTCCCAGGTGGCAGCATTTTGTGTCTGAGATGGAGGAGGAAGTAGCCCACTGACCTGGCAGGCCCCACTTCCCTCCTCTCTTTCCTGAACACATACCCCTGAAGCCACCTGGCCATGCTGCCCCAGTGATAATTAGAAAGAGCTAGTAATTGTGGGCTGCCTACAAACAGTGACTTTAGAATTTTTTATCTGGTTGTTAGGTGCCATTGAGTTGACTATAATTTATAGTGACTCAATGAGCAATTATACAGGGATTAGATTTACTACATCTGGAAACAGTCTGTGGAGAAGCTCAGTGTCAAGAATCAAAAAAAGGTCAAGAGATGACTGAGGAACAGACCATCAATTAACTACTCATGTGCAAGTTCAAATTAAAGTGAAAGAAAATGAAAACAAATCCACAAGAAACAAAATATGAGTGTGAATCTATCCTTTTATCTAGATTATGCCACTAACGGTGCCTGGAAATAGACCTTAATCTTTCAAAATTATGAACATGTCGGAGTAGTGGGGCTCCACAAATGCACACAACCAGGTTTCTACTAGAAAATAATCAGTGACCTTGAAACCAAGTGCTCCCCCAGTAGCTTCATCAATGGAGAATAAAGGAAAGGCAGTGTTACTAAGCTCACTGGACTCAGGAGTGGGTGGAAGGACATCCATCCTGCACATGCAGGCTTTCTGAAGGAAACAATGGTCTTAATCCCATTTTATGTTAAATGTGGGATTCAACCCCATGGCAGAGTGCCACTCTGTGAAGTATAGGATGTTCTAGAGGAACCAAGCATTGACTAGGATTTCCACTGTGCCTAGGACATGCTTATGAAAAAATGGAACATACACATGACCTTAACTACATAAAAACTAAAGTGATCAGAAAAGAACAAGAAGCAGTTGAGCTAACATTTAACAATGAGTCTCTCTCATTGCTAACATTTGAGAGTTTTCTAGAAGAGGTTAGAGCCACAAGAGGAATTTGCTACAGTTGGCAAGGTTATACTAGCCAGGATAAGATGCCGTAACTCTGAGCTCATCCCAAAGAGCTGTGTGATTCAAAAGAGGAAGACCCTCAACAAGATGGACTGACAGAGTGACTGTACAATGGTCTCTGGCATATCAGAGATGATGAGGATGGCACAGGATAGGACAAGGGTCAGATCTATTGTTGATGGGGTCACTATGAGTCATAGCAACTCAGTGGTGCCTAACAACAAGTGGGCTTTAGAAACTCAGCTTCATCCTCTGGTGATCTAAAATGCCTTTAAGAAGCTGAAAAGCTTTTTTTTTTCCCCAGGAGAAAGATGGGGAATCTCCTCCTGTGTGATTTACTGCCTCTGAAAACCCTCTGGAGGGTCAGCTATGAGTAGGTTCCAACTTGAAGGCACACAAGCAGCAGCAGCAGCAGCTCAAGTTGCTGGTAAAATGCTAGTTACATTAGGATCTGAGAGCCACAAGCTAGGGGCTCACAAGCCACCTGTGGCTCACCTCATACAGATTTAATTAGCACCAACCATGTGCTTAATTTTTCTAACTCATTATACATTTAAAAATAAATGGATTTCCAAATAATGTTTCAGATTGTTTTCTTAAAAACATGTCAAAGAAGAGAAACCATCCATAATGTGCATCTGCCAATAAATAGATGCAAAGTGTGGTCTGTCCACACAATGGCATAGTACTGCATTTCTACTTATTTAATTATTGAAGTTTAAGCAAAAGTTAATATAAAGCATACTGGTTTTCTAGTCATCCTTGCACAGTTTGTTCCTGTCCACTGTTTAACTAAGAGTAGAGCCCCAGTGGTGATCGTATTCCGGGATGGAAGGATGACTTGCGGTCATAGTACAGGGGTCTACCAGTTTCTATCAACTATTATTCCTGGCCTTTCCTATTTTTCACATTTTATTTTAGGTTTGCTCTACATTTTCTCCTACATGATCTAACATGATCTAATGATCCCTTCCAATGTGGTCAATGGTAGCTGGGCACCATCTAGTTGTGATCAGGGTCCTGAAAGCTGAAAGTCACATAGTTCATTAGTCCTTTGGACTGGCTTGTTTCAGTACATCTTTGCTCTTCTTTACCATCTTGCTTATTCCAAACAGGGACAGAGCAATAGCTGCACTTTAGGTAAATGCTACTGGCCAGTCAGAAGCTGTTGTCAGTTGGCTGCTGAGTCAGCTCGGAACCACAGTGTCCCTACATACAAACCCTGCCAATCCTGTATTATCCTCACTATTCACATCCAGGTGGAATTTCTGGCCATTTCCTACCAATGCACTGCGCTAGCCATTTTTGAACAGTCAAGACTTTACCTGCATGTTGAGATTAATGATACTGTTCAATAATGTCTGCATTCTCTTGGATCCATTTTCTTGGAAATGGGTACAAATATGGATATCTTCTACTTGGCTGGCCATGCAGATGTCCTCTAAATTTCTTGGCATGGACCACTGTGCACAATTAGGACTGCATCAGTTTGTTGAAACACCTCAACTGATAGCATGTTAATACTTGGAGCCAAATTTTGTACCAATGCTATCAGTGTAACGTCTGACTTCTTCCTTTGTGGTGGTTGTTACATGGCATTGAGTTGAATACAAT